GCTCAGCATGATAATACAACTTTCGGAACGTAAGGTTCTTACCTATCAATCTGCTTTTGCCAACCCAAGAGTGCTGAGGACATTAGCAGGGCCTTCCAGAATCTTGAGCACGAATAAAAGAGATACTGCTTACTGGATTTTGGTGCAACGACGAGTGTCGCCGTAGCCGATCTAGTTGTAGAGGGTTCCTGATAACTTCTCTGATCGAGATGCCATGCCACGAGGGCCAAGAGACTCAAAGACTTTCCCAAGCCCATTTCCTAGTTTCAGTCAGGGCCACTGGTTCAGAGAAAGGGAAGATGAGAGCAACCGTACATCGGCAAGTACCCCGCCCAGTGTAGGTGAGGGTTTCTTGCCAGGGGGGTCGGTTTGTCCCGTGACAACGTTTTGGTATCTGTCATCTCTCATCAGTAAAGATTCAAGGGTCTCTTCAATGAACAAAGGAAAGAGACCATAAAACGCCCGGACCTTGATTTCCCTTCCTCTCCTTCGAAGAGGCTCCAGAGAGATCCGAATCTTGCCCCCTTGATGATCCCTCTCTCCTTTTCCACCATCATGGCAAGAGCCACCATCTGGTGTCTGTCGTGCCCAGAGGTTAGCACGGCGTACAATGTGTCCCCAGGTGCCTCCGGCAAACTTACTCGTGGAGGGTAGTCTTCAGACGCCCGCTTTGCAGAACACCTCCAAGGAGATATTCACCACTTTCAGGCCCACTTGCTTCGTCAAAGACGTGGTTCAGCTGGTTCATAGTATGTGCTCTGACAAGCTCGTCAAGTGGTCCCTCCCTTCTCAGGCTCACAGCCACTGACGCAGCAGGTTGGGGAAACGTCGCTCCAGGTGCCAGGAGATACTGCGGGTTGAAATACTGCACGTTCGGGTCAATATCGACGGATGGATGCTGCAGATGAAGTCCCGCCTCCGAGAGAGCATCTCCCACTTCATACATGGCAACACGCCTTCCGTAGACCGTAATCTGGGCAACCACAAGTGGTGTCATCCAAGAGTCGGCGCTTTTTTTCTTCTTGATCCCTGGCTTGGGCAGTGTCGCCTCGAGGGTGACGCCAGAGTGTCGGACAAGCTTGACCAGCACTGGCGCCTCGAAAGTAGCGGCAAAGGTATTGGACTCATCGAACGACAGACGCACTATTCTTCCGGATGTTGTCACGGTGACCGGGCCGGGGTTAAAGTCCTTGGCGAAGGAGGGCGAGCACGAGACCTCAACGGCGAGCTGTGAAATGGTCAATACCTAATAACGAGGTTTTTCTTCCATAGAGCACATACCATGCCAAAGCAACAGTCGTATGGCTCGTCCCCGGGGGTCATCGAAGTCCCGGGCGTTGGAGAACATCCGCCCTCGGCGTCCATGTCGACATCTAAGCGGGGGTCAGCAAGAATCCCTGACACTTTGAAGAACACCAGCACATACCAAGGCTCACTGCCGCTTCGTCGACTTCCTCACCAAACTCAACTGAAGCGCCTTGGCCATCGCCCATAACCTGATTCTCCAGCTGGGGCAAGTCCATACCAACAAACCCAGGCCATTCCCAGCCTGAGTTCCCTAGGTCGCCTTGGCCATCGCCCGTAGCCTGATTCTCTGGCGGGGGGAAATCCATACCCACGACAAACCCAGGCCATTCCCAGCTTGGGTTCTCGAGGTCATTCCCATGCTCTCCCTGCCCACCTTCGAAACAGACCCTCTTCCAGGAACCCCCATTTGCGTCTTCCGTCAGGTCGCGGTCATGACCACCTAGGTCCACGTCGTTGAACCCATCCCAGTCTCTCTTGTCACCGTCGTTCCATGACATCTTGCCGACCAGGCTCCGGCCTGTTCATCGATTACGGGGGCCGTCTGGACTTCAAGCTGTAATCGGCAACAGAAACATTGTGGATGGACAATGGCAAACAATTGCCAGGTATCGTCAAGGTCTTGGGCGTTGATCTGTCGGCATCTCAAGTGGTGACAACGAAAGAGAAAATTGTTGAGGGTGAGGCGAGCGAGCTGGCACCCACGCACCACCAGGCTCCCGCTGGCTCTTGCCAACCAACTGCGCCCAAGGCGTACTCACCGCGTTTCCTAGGTCGCGTTGTACATGATGTGCCCGTTGGCCAATCCCGACCCCCGCTGGGTTGGACACCGCCCTCCTGTTTGCCTTCCCTGGGGGACTCGTGGAGGCCCCCTTGCCCCTTCTCCTCGCAGAACCCCGCCAGCCCCAGCTGGGCAACTACCTACCTTGATGAGCATAGCCGTCAAAATCGCGGCCGATGTTTTCGTTTGTCTCGTTAAGAGGCGTTGCCGGCAGCAAAAAAAAAAAACATCGTCACAACTCCCAAAAAAAAAGGGGGTGTGGTTCACCAGGGCAAAAAGGTACTCTCCCGCCGGGAATTGAACCCGGGTCTCGAGCGATGACATTGGATGACAAGCTCACATACTGACCACTATACTACGGAAGATTTACAGATGTGGGCATCTGTCGTAGTGCTGGTTGGTTGAGGGAATGGGTCGGTAATGGGGTATATGAGGTATTTTGGTGGTGACCCCGCTCCACAGCAGAATCATCGCGAGGTGGGGGCATCATTGGCATCACCAGCGACAGCAACAGTTCCAGATGTCGAGGTTGAAGAAAGAATCGTGCCATCCCAAGTACGGAGCCAGGGTATACCGACGCTAAACGAGACTAGAAAACGACGGCAAAGAAAAATATCCCATCCGGGTCATCGCTCTGCATCTTCGACACGACCCCCCCCCCCTCCCCCCGGAGAAGAAAAACGATCGTTCCCTGCAGCGCCCTCGCGCTGATTCTTGACGTCCTGTTGTCCGTGCTGTAATAGCTATATCGTGCCGCCCAGGCGAGTGTCAACTCGAAGGTATATACTCGAACTGATCCCGCATGCTGTTGCGTGCCAATGTCGTCGATTATTCCATGTGCATCTCCAAACTGTCGCGCCTGTTGCATTCCACATGTCTCATATCGTGCCCCTTATTCACTCTTGACCCCCCTCGTCGTCCCCGACGCCGCCTTGGTCAACCCGTTGATGATCTCGTCGCCAAACTTGTACACCAAGATGCCGGGAAAGACGATCCACGCGCCGCTGCAAGAAACCAATGTCAGCCGAAGAACCAAAAACAGAAGACCCAGGTGCACCTACTTGGGAATAACCCAAAACACAAACAAATGAACCGGTTCATTATGTCCGATATTCGCAAACCCCGAAAACGCCTCGTTAAGCCCTACATCACACCCACAGTCAGCACAGCACCCCAGCACCCGGGCAGACCAACAGAAACTCACAGTACAACACCGTCTTGACAAACGTCGTCAAGAACGCGCTATACCCCACCAACACCGCCAGCGCCGCCGCCCGCCCCGTCACCGCCCCGTTCCCCTTCCCCTCGGCCGCCCTGGCATTCGCCCACCAAATCCACAGATACCCCAGGTACCCCGCCGTCTCCAGCCCGTTCACCACCGTCTGCGCCGTGTTCCACCCCCCGCCCGCGTTCCACTCCTTCCACCCGTACGTCCAGTCCAGCTCGCACTGGATCGCGTACGGCGCCCACACCGGCCAGTGCCACTTGCCGCCGGGCATGCTGTGCGGGCGGAGGAGCACGTAGCCCATGTCCCAGAGGACGAGCGGGAGCGAGAGGAAGAGCCAGCCGAGGGTGAGGGTGGTAGGGGCGTGCGACCAGGCGGGGATTGTTGTCGTCGTGGTGCGCGGGGCGCGCGCCTTGGTCGGGGATGACATGGACGCGGGAGGGGAGGAGGAGCGCCCGCCGCGGGGGGTGAGGAGGGCGGCTGAGGAGGAGCGGGTTGAGACCATGGTGGTGGTGGTGGATTTGTCGGAGTCGCGTGGTGGTTTGGTCAAGTCGGGTTGTGGTGTCGCGACGCCAATGTTGATGTTTGGAAGAGGGGAAAGGAGAATGGCCCGGGTCCGACGGGGAGGGGGGGGGGGGCGGGGGTCAAGCAAGCCCGAGACGTCAGGCGACGAGGGACGGCGCGCTTGGTTCCCGTCTCATGGCCGACCCGACCTCCCGACTTGGTACCTGCTGTCGCGTCGTGTGTTGGGGTAATGGTTTTCGTAAGAAAACTCTATCCATCACTCTGATTTTTGGGGGACCCCCCTGTCATCTTGGCGTGATGATTGGCTCTCGACACTCAACGGGGCTGGCCGCGCTAGGCCGTTTTGGGACCGGAGTCTCGAGGGGGTTTCTATGGCTCTCGTCGCTCGAACTCGTTACCGCACGGGCCACCCGCACGGGCCACCTCGGCCAGAGGGTGTTCCTGACTTTCTGTGGCTCTCGTCGCTCGAGCTTGTTGCCGCACAGGCCACCTCGGCCAGAGGGGTTTCCTGACTTTCTGTGGCTCTCGTCGCTCGAGCTCGTTGCCGCACGGGCCACCTCGGCCAGAGGGTGTTCCTGACTTTCTGTGGCTCTCGTCGCTCGAGCTCGTAGGGGGCGCCCTTCGCTAATCACGTGCCCGCCCCCGAAGGGGGCAGGCCGCCGGGCCCGGAGAGGCTTTGCGAAGCAAAGGCTCGGAGGGCCCTAGGCCTTCGCAATCACCTGCCCGCCCCTGTAGGGGGCGGGCCGGGCCCGGAGAGGCTTTGCGAAGCAAAGGCTCGGAGGGCCCTGGGGCCGCCCTTCGCTGGCGACGCTGGCTCTCGTCGCCGTCACGTGCCACCTTGCGCGGGGAGTAGCCCCCCCCTGTTTTCTTGCGAAAACCTCTTGATACCAAGGCGCGCCTTGGTCTCCTCAATTCCCGGTCCCTGATCCCCGTGGCAAATCAGGACGCCGGGTCGCCATTCTGACTCTGCTGGTCGGCGGCGTATCCGTGGCTCCAATTGGAGCACTCCAGCTGTCAATCGGGCTTGTGATGGGAGGTTCCTGGTGTGCCTGCTTGGGCTGCAATTGACAGTCGTTGATGATCACAGGGCTGCATTCTGCAAAAAGGAGGAAACAGCAAGCAAAAATATTGAGCCACATGTTGTGGGAATGTTGTGGGAAGAATTGCGTCAGCCGCGAATCGAACGCGGGGCCCATCGAAGTTGGCAATGCATGGCAACGATGGATTTTACCACTAAACCACTGACGCTGTTGCTCCTGAGGAGTTGATGGAGACAGTAGGTGTTTCGGCTCTCAAGTAAGGGACCCGTTCTACAAGTGGATGGGGCCGATGGGCCCACATGAGAGATCAGAAAGACCCAGCATCTTGTCCATTGCAACCCTTCCAGTTCACAGGGACCCGCAGAGCCTCGTCTCCAAAGCGAGGAACGGTGGTAACAATGGTCAACGACCAAAAAACATTATCTTTTTACTATTGCAGACCGCTAAACGGCAGGTAGGTAGACCTAAATAAGAGGTACGCATGTAGATGTCTACATCGTCTTGGGGTATCAATGTCGAGAGAAGGGAAGCTACCCGTGCTGGCTGTATGCCGAGAAAGAAAAGAAAGCCCAAAGAGAAAAAAGAAAGGGGCGAGCAAGCCGCCGTCGTCGCCTGGGTGTCCAGTCCGTCCGAGGAATGTCCGTATATGATGATGCTCTTTCGACAAAGGAGAGAAATGCCTGCGAAGGATTGTAGTGGTGGAGGTGACGATGATGGTGATGGTGGTGTATGTGTGTGTGTGTGTCCTCGTCCGTGTGTCCCATTAAACATTCCATCCAGATCAACGGGCGTTGCTCATCAATACCGCTCCATCGGAACCAGTTCCGGCGTCTGAAATGCCTTCCCTGGTTACACCCCCCCCTCGACAATCGGTGCCAGCTCCGCCCCATGGCTCGGCATCGCCATCGAGCCCGCCTCCGTCAACCCTCCAATGTTCGAAAACTGCGCCCACACATCCACCTCCGGCCCGTGTGCCTCCCTGCTCCCCGTCAACCTCATCATGAGCGCGTCGTCGTCGTCTTCATCCTCCACCTCTGTCGCCGTCGACAAAACACACGCCTCCGACGCCTCGTCGTCCTTGTCGGCGCTGCTGCTTCCCCACGGTCGAAGCGGGATGGGGTAGAGATCGCTGAGGCGCTTGCGGCGGCTGTTTTTCCTCGGCAGGGACGGCGGCAGAGAGCTTTTGGAGTTGCTCCGCGAGATGGAGGAATCCTGCGAGGCGACCGTGACGGTGGATGCGCAGCGCTGGGGTATCGGACTGGGGACCGTGCATACAGTGCTGCTGGCGGAGAGGGCGTCGGAGAGGCGACTGGAGCTGCTGTTGGCCGTGCTGCTGGTGGAAGAGGTCGAGGCGGTGGAGAGCGTGCGGACGGTCAGGGGTTCCGGGCGGAGTTGTTCGGTAGAGGGCTGTTTCGTCGGACTGCACATGGTCAAGGGAAGATCGAGGAAGTTTGGCAGGTCCGGAATCGGGGGCACGGGGTCGAGATGCACGGGGTTGGTGCCGTTCCCGTAGCCGTTGACGACGATTTCATGGTATGACATGGGTCGGTTCTTCTTGGGGGTTGAGGGCCCGGACATGAGGCTGCTGGCCGAAGAGGTGAACACCATCATCGAACGTCGAAAGCTTCGGTTTAGGCTGTCGCCGCGAGGTCGAATTCCCCGGTTGAGGCTTTGACCCCGAGGCCTGGCCGTAGTCTGGACTTTGAGGCTGTTGGCACGCGGCGGGATGTTGGGCGATGACCCTGGGCGGGAGAGGGATGCTTCGCTTCGCGCGAGAGCAAGATAGTCAATGTCTGGCTTGATGTCAAACGAAAATGTCGGGACCTCGGGGGCGGGAGGCATCGTGGGGAGGAGAGACATGGGAATCTCCCAGCTGGGTTGGGCGTGGTCGGTCTTGGCGACGACGGGGGATTCCGCCTCGTCCCATGGCGGCAGGTTTGTCGTATCCACGGCGATATTGTAGGGGACGTTGGTGTCGATGCATTCCTCGGGAGCGGCGGTACACTTTTGCAGGACCTGGTACATGGCATAGATGAGAATCCACCGGATCTTGCGAGCGTCCACCTGGGACACCTTTTCATGTCGGTCGGCCTTGTGCGGTGAAAAGACAGAGTCCTCTTCAAACTTTTTGTATGCAACAACGAGCGGGTTCCTGATGACTTGCTGGCTTCGCTTGTTGGTCGCTTTCACCAGCGAGGCATGGATGACCAGGCGATTATCCGGCCGGAGTTTGTCGACCCTGGCGCCGAGCCACGACAGCCGCCTGGACGAGAGCGAAGACCCGATCTGCGGGAGGAGTGGCAGCGGATGCCGAAGGGAGGTGCAGTGGTTGCGCATGTCGAACCCGTGGACGCTTTGCAAGGCGCATATCCCACCCTGGGCGAGAGCCGGCACCTTTTCCGTCATGGTAAACGACTCGTCCACGAGGTAGTTGTAAAGCGCCTCAAAGTCGTCGCGCATACTGCAGTACACCTCGCGCTCAAATATTGTACTCCGCGGAGTCGTGGACGTCGGTGGGTAGTATCCCAGCTTCGATGTGTAGAATCCGTGGAGAAATCCCCGAAACCGCTCGAGATGGGCCCTCCCCCCAAGAGCCAGCCCAACGTGGGCTTCCGAGAGGTCTTCGTCGAGAAAGTTTCGAAGCATGGAGCCAGCTCGCGCGAGCTTCACCTCCATCTGGGTCTTTGCCTGCCGTATCAGTTTCCTCGAAGCGGAGCTGATCATCTGTCAAGAGTCAGCAACGGTTCATTACAGGCACAGCACTCGACCTACCTGATACTCGGGAATGGCGAAAAGGTTGTCGCACATGCCGACGCAGTGGGTAAAAGCGTTGATGTAGAGATCCTTGAGCTGAAAGTGTTCGGCAAAATGCAGCATCCCCAGGGCGTGTATTGGCTGATTCCGCATCTCGAGATAGCCCTCCTCGTCGAGATAGCTCATCAGGTCGTCCATGTTGTCTGCCCCGGGGCATCGGAACTCGCCCATGGAGGCCAAAAGGCTGATGAGCGTCGAGCCGAGGTGCTCCCCAACCATTGACCTCCGCAGGACCCACGAGAAGAAGTTGCGAGTCGCGATGTGATAGCGGCGGGCTTCGTCCTTGTTCGCCATGGGCGGTGGGGGGATGTACAACTCGACCTTTGCGCTGGGGCCCATCATCTCCAACACTTCGAGATATGTTTGCCCGTACGACGCCCGACACAAGACGGCCTGGTCCCTGGCGATGAAGCGTGCGAGAAGAGGGTGGCATTTGGCGTCGATGAGTTCGCGAAGGGACAACCTAAAGGCGGGACCTCGTCGTGATTGTCCTTTGGCGTACAGGTGCACGTAGCAGTTGCCATTTCGGCTCCACAGCTCTGGGTCCTGAGCAAACAAACGGGTCAGCATCTCAACGTCGGTGTTGGAAAGCTCAACGTACCTTTCCGAGGCTGTCCCATGGTGTGCAGGCCCTGGCGGCCCCATCCCAACGTCTGATATTGACCATTTCCGGACCTCGAAGCTCCATCACCTGGCTGTGCCTCCTTGACATTGACTCTTGCAACCGAAGGGAAGTGCTCTGGAGCATATCTGCTCCACCAGGAACCGAGGAGATAGGAGGATGGACCGGGCGTGTTCTCGAAGAGCGAGGTCGGCTGTCCTCCAGCGCAGAGGCGCCGAGTGTCGTTGCCGTTGGATGTCTCGAGTCGACAAGAGAAAGGGATGGATGGATGGGCGGGTGCGGATGTCGTGCGGGATTCGGAAATATTGCGCCCTGGTGGCGTGTGCCTTTTTCGGGTGGTGGCTCACCGGGAGCTCGAGAGCCCAAGCCCAAGCAGGGTCGAAATGATGAGCTTCGAGCGCCAGTCAGACCGCGGGTCAAGCAAGAAACGTCGACGCCATGGTTTCTTCACCCGTCCCTCGTTAATTCTCCTTGGTTCGACGCGTCTGCAACGAGCTTCGTCGTGGACCGTGGAAAGATTGGACCGGCGACGGACGTGCGGGAGAGGAACAGGGCTCCTCTATAAGACATCCACAAGCTCCCCGCAGGACGACGTCGCCATGGCTGGGGGGGCCAATGCGGTTCGATCGTGAGCCCAGATTTGGGAGCCATGGTTCCACAGTCCCACTGTTGCATGGTTCCGAAAGCAGCATGGCGATTCCCATCTCCTGTGATCTCCTTCGCTCTCGCGCAGCGCAGAGCCAGAGCCTGAGCCCGAGCTCTCACCGCGTCCAGCCACGTCGCCGCGCGTGTGGCTGCTGGGCCCGGGAGTTGATGATGCACACACCCGACAGGGGGGTTACCAGCCAAGAGCCCGCATCCTGGCACTCGCAACTGGCCAGCCAACCACGACGTCCTCCGGCCCTCAGCTCACATCTGCGCTGGCAGCGATGGTGCTGCGGCCCGGCGCCGACCGGAGCTGAAGCCTTTCATCGTCCCCCATCGACCTCTCTTGCCCTGCCGGCCCGGGAGCCTGCTCGATCAAAATGTCTCGATGAGGTGTGTTGACTGTTGACATGACAGGAGGAGCCTCAGTCCATGTCTCTTCTGGCGGGCGTGTCGGTCTCGGGAGCAGGTCGGGCACTGATTGGCAGCCGGCGCCTCTCTGGCGGAAGCAGGCGCTTGTGCTGATGATGAGAGTTGGCTGGTTGTCCAAGTTGGACGAGACGGATCGTCGGTGCTGCAGCTCTCGGCCTTGGGCGTGGGCTGCAGAAAGACGCTGGCGTGGCCGCAGGTTTCGATGCGAGGCTAGCGAAGCCACGGTGCCAATCTCCGGGTGCTGCGGCTGCCCTCTGGTCCATCAACAAGCCCTCGAGCCCTCATATTTATTCGGTATCTTGGTTAGGTCGGCGAGCAGGCGTTTCTTGGTGCACGCCCTCGGCGCCATCGCAATTCCCAACTTCCCAAGTGTCATTGCGGTGCCCATCCTGCCATCGAGCCATCCTGCTGCCATCTTGAAACGCCGTCGCCGATCCCGGGATTCTCGGCTGAATTGCGGAATAAGGTTGAGGGAGAGCGGCGCCGGGAGGGGACGCTGCCGATGCTCCCTCGCCTCCCACCACTCTCCCTCGCCCATGATCTTCCGGTCTCGACCCGACTGTCCCGACACCGGGCTCGTCCGGTTCGAGTGGGGAGTCCGCCCGGGGATGTGACCAGGCTGGTGCCGAATCCGATACGCTGACGATCCAGGCTCCCCCACCGTTCCACGACATCAAAAGCCACTGAGAGGGCGA